ATAAATAATATATAATATGTAACTTTAACGTTATTTATAAATAAACGATAATAATTACAGAATATTTAATGAGAAACTTGATGAATATTTTCTTATCGAAAAATTTAAAACAAAAAAGAATTTCTCAACGAAAATTTCATTAAGAAATTATTTTTTTGTCTTTCTTTTTTAAGAACTTTAATATTAGAAATTAAATATATGCCCTTAGTTAAGAAAAAAAATTTTATTAAATTAATTAATTTAAAATAAAATTTTTAATTTTCATTAACCCAAAAAAATCCTTCGCTATATTAAATGTTATTCGAGGAATCTTTCTATAAATATAATTAAATATGTAATCAGAAAATCTTCTTATCAGATTTCTATTTATAATATGATTTTGCGTAAAATATACATAAGATAATTTTCATTCCTTACAACGAACACGCACCTCTCATATTAAACGCTTTCAATATGTATCTGTTTAAACATCGTGAATCTTTTTAGAGTCAATCAATACGCACTAAAGACTTGTAAATAATATTTTGAGACACTTGACAGCTCATCTTTTTTCTTGTTACCTTTCAGCTCGATTCTCTTGTCTGATGATAAAATAGATTACAAAACTAGTCAGTATATAGTCAATTGCACTTATTTTCATGTACGTCTCATGCGAACAAGTGATAAAATAACGCTTGATCCTCGTCTCATCATAATAACACGTAAGACGATTAACCAAAGTCGACAGAATCTTTCGATAACTGCTGCGTGACGCACGATATATGTCAAATAATTTTATACTCTGATATCACGCATGAGTATTCTCGTTTCAAATAGTCGGCAAAATATGAAACGTATATTTTCTTCCTTCAAAATGTAACAATTATAAAAAATATGTTGAATATTTTTCATCCTTTTTTCTACATACAATTGTATAAACGCAGATGTTTATTTTAAAATGCAAATGTTTATTACACATGTTCGTTGTTTTATTATCTTAAAGCAATATAAATTTTGTGGCGCTAATTAAATGAATTACGATGATTATGTGATCAATGACAGATTGTTATCTTTTGAACGATATCTTTAATGATACGATTTATATAAAATCTTTGAACTAGTTTAAAATAGTTTAGATTCATTTCACATTGATATCATTGAAAATTTAATATAATGTATGTTTCTCAAATAAATTTAATCTATATTTCAATATTTTTTGATCTCTTTATTAAATAATGAGATAAGAATTAAAGTATATCAAGCATATTGTAATATCGCTTATTGATTAAAATTTGCAGTAATTTTGTTCAAACGTGTATATTAATGAAATGTTTTTGCAATGTTCGTATTTTGCATTTGAATATTGTATATGTTGAAATTCTGTATTTAATAAATAGATGTATATATTATCGCGGCAATTTATTATCATTCATTATACACATATGTAATTTAATGTGACGTCAGCATTCGTAATACGTTATTACAAAAAGCTTTAACATATTTGTTAAACATGTTCTTACCTCCTGATTTACTGACAGTCTCGAATGCAATTTATTATCAGTCATTATACATATGTAATTTAATGCGACGTCAGCATTCGAAATACGTTATTTCAAAAAGCTTTAACATATTTGTTAAACATGTTCTTACCTCCTGATTTACTGGCAGTCTCGAATGCACCCTGATTGTAATTTCCTTTCCTTCACAATTCGATGATGTTCTATCAAATTGCCCGCATAACCACAGGTCACACTTTGTACGTACGAATAATCGATGACTGGATTTTAATCACCACCGAGGAGAGTTTCGATGTTTTTTTACTTAAAATCTTCTCCTTTAGGATTTTCCCGTGCGCGACGTCTCGAAGGTTTCATACTGGAAAATATTGGAAAAGTAAAACGTAACTTTTTCATATTTACGTTAAACACACTCGTTACTTTTTTAAAAATGAAAAAAAGAACACGAAAAATTAAATAATTCTCAAATGATTTAGATAGAAATTATTTAAATAGAATAAAATGTTGTTCTGCTCAAAATACCTTTATCAGCGCGATAAATTGCTCAGAAAAATTTGCCCTAAGTCAATTTTATAGAAATTAAATATAAGACATTGATATTTAAAAAATTATAAATTTCATGAGAAAAAGAATTATTAATGAAAATTAAAATTATTAAAATTAACTTTACAATAAAATCGATAAAATTTTTCCCGGAAAATTATCGTGAAAAACGGGAATAAAATTGAAAAATAATAACTTTTAAGTAAGTTTGCGAACGCGCGTCGATTCGCCAGAGTTTAAGTAATATCGCGTCACCTTGACCTGCCGACAGCGAATTGTGGAATAAATGCCGTTTATAAAAAGCTGATGTTACAAATTCATGCAACCTTCACTATCTCTACCTTATCGCTCGCAATTGCTACCACGAACTGAATATCGAACGCAAGCCGCCCTTCGCGCCTTTCGCATTCAACAAGGACTTTCACTTCTATGAAGATGCTTACAATGCATTGATATTACGATAACAGAGTATAAATGGTGGTCTGATATCAAATTGTGAGCTCGAGTTGATATATTATATATTTTTTTATTTATATATTATTTAGTATGTTAAATACTTTTACACATATTTTGAATCTTAAAATATTATTTTAATTTGTCAATTATATGTTTTAATATTATTATTTTAATTATCACAGTGAAACATCGATATCGTAGGCTATTTCGATATATTCAAAATTCTATATTTCAATATTGTGGAATAAACTTATCTTGAAAAGGCATTAGTTTAGTATTGACAGTTTTCTTTTCACGTCAGAAAATATTATTTAATGATGTATTTAATTTCTGTGTACTTTCGGATAATATGTATATATGTTCGGATAATATTCGGATGAATATGTATATATTAATTAATTATTTTTATTATTGATTTTTATTATTGATCATTGTAGGAATCTTTTTATCATTATTACGAGTGATGCTTATGATATTTAACGAAATGATTTAAAGTATCGATATATTGCATACATACATTTTTAAGCATCTCTAATCCAATTACAAACAAATATCAAGTTAAGCCTAATTTATGGATTGTTTAATTTAAATTTGTGCAAATAAAACTATGTATGTTATAATAAAATAAATGATATTTGCAAATAAAACTATGTATGTTATCATAAAAATAAATGATATTTGCTGGCGAGAAAAGAAAACTGTCAATACTGTCAATTAAATTGATGTCTTTTTAAGATAAGTTTACTCCACAATATTGACGGGTCTTAAATTTTTTCTCTTTTTTATTTTTTCTTTATCATTTACATCGACAATAAGAGGATATTAATACATAATCTAATATAAGAAAAATTAAAGAAATAAAAGATTAAATAGCACAACACTACACGATAAGAAAGAAAAATTTCATCTGTAGTTCAGCGATGCTTATCACTGCGAAAGTTTAATGACTCTCAACAAGAGTCGCGTGTAATAGCTGTCGGGAAGCCTAAAACGCGGAAGACACACGAAACGATATGAGACAAATTATTTTTCGTATTTAGCCGCGTGATAAATCATAAAACAAGATTATTTTGACTTATTTATGAATCGCAATAAGGTGTTTGCAAGAAATTTTTTGACGAACAATCGAATAGTCAATGCATGGAGATCGATGACGTACGGAGTCATATTTTTTAAGGTGTACATTAGATAACAATACCTTTTTTTATTTTATATCTCTTTTTTATTTTATTTATTAATCACACTGGTTATTAAGTGCACTGATCAAATATAAATGTATTATTTTTATTTAATACTTTATTAATAAGCAAAAAATGAGGAAACATACAGATAGAGTATTTGAAATATTTAAGTTTTTAATGTGTAATTTTAATATATAAGAATATTTTTTACTATCATTTTTTCATGATAATTATCTCTTAATTAAATTTTATTAAACTCAGAGATTCTCGAAGATATTTTTTTTTAAAAAAATTCTATAATTTTTTATTATTTAAAGAGCCTCATGTAATATAGAACATATTATGTAAATGTACTATACTGTAGAATAATAAAAAGTTTCGATTTAAAATTATTCTTATTTATATGTATTATAAGAAAAAGATATTTTACACTTTTTTAATTAAAGAATATTTCTTTTATATACAAGAGATGTTTTCTAATTTATATTTCTAACATTAGTATATCAGTAATATTATATTAAAAGTATTCAGTTTCAAAATTATATATATTGCAATTTGAATCTTGTTGCGAACCATATGCAATCATTCGATAGATACTCATTTATTTGAATAATAGTACGGCGCGCAAAGAAAAAAAACCTGGGATTCTAAGAATAATATTTCTATGGAAATATGAACCTTTTCTCGATTGCAAGTAAGGATCGCTTTGAAATAATAACAATGCTTAAGTTAAATTCAAATATTTTTGAATAAGCAATGTACTTCGAGAAGTCACTAAAATAACAAGTAAATCTATGTATAAATAATTGATAAATAATTAAAAAAGCTTTGCAATATATACTCCACAATATATATTCCACAATATATACTCCACAAATGATCTTTCACATAAATGAAAAGAACGAAGAATATCTTTTAAGAATACTTCTTTTTTTTGCTAAATATATTATAGGAAAAAAAAGAAACAATTTCTCTCACGGTTTCTTTTTCTCTTAAAAGAAAAATACTTCGGTAAAGTAAAACGATTCTTTCATGATCAAATAGCAACTAATGCAACTTGCTTATATGTATATATCCGATGACTTTACCTTCAATAAACTGTTGGGTAAAGTTATCGGGGACAATTGCCTTCTTTTCCTAGATCACTAAAAACACTGGCTATAAATTAGACGTAGTTAAAGTTAGCTGATCTATGGATAGAATTAATCAAAAATCTACTCTTTAATACCGAGTAAACGTAGAAAAATGCAAAAACAGAAAAATGAAATAAACGTACAATATTTATATGAAAAAAGGCAACAGAGAATAAACAATGTATACGCACGTAGATCTTGTCACACGCGAGCAAACAAATCCAAGAGCGTCTCTCGTGTTGTGTCTCTCCGGATGTATCACGGAATGAAGATGAGAGAAAAGTGCATTGAGTAAGCGGGAAACGAGTAAGGCACGTCGCGCACGAGATCTAAGGATCCTTTCCTCTCGATCGACGGGTGATTCGCATCCTCCCGCAGGGCGAGGACGAAGGACAACGTCGGCGGGCAACGACGGCGTCCCCGTGTCAACCCTCGGACCTTTGCACGAAGGACCGACGCGGTGGAGGAGCGTGCGACGCGTGTCCGCGGCGCGAGAGTACTGCTCGTAGCAAAAGGTGGAGGCGCCTGCACGCTCTTCAGTATTGATCCACGTGGACGACACTCCTCTCCGCATTTGTTCGACCAGCCCCGTCATCTCTCTTCCTAGCATCGGCAATCTGCGGTGTTGTGCTCCCATTGTTTCAACGGCCTATCTGTCTGCCTGGATCCACAAAGATTCTTTTGACAGGTCGATAATTGTCATGCATAATGAGATGTCGGAGATGGAGAAGGTGAACGATAAGATGATGTTGTAGGCACCACTCGGAGGACGGAGAAAATGGGGGTCCTAGTTGATATACCAGTCAATGACCGATTAATATTTCAGCAGGTCCACTTTCAAAATGTATATTCTTTGATCTTTCGTGCGTAACACGATGAAAATAAATAAAATATAAATATGAAAAAATATGGAAAATACTATTACATATAGAAACTCCACATGTCAGAAAAATGGATATAAAAATCTTATTTGCATTGTTAATAATTTAACATTTTTTTTAATTTAGATATGAGGGAGATTTTTCGATATATTTTAATTTCTACGCTTGCAAATAGAAATATTATTGTTCTTTGTCACAAATAGTTTTAACAAATAATTTAAAGATTAGATATTATTAATCATTAGCTTTCTCTAAGATATAGAGATATTTGCTCTCTCTTTTCAGAATTAATCTTAGAGATTCTGTTAGATGCTGCTGCAGCTTTTGAAATCTAAATTATAATTTTATATTATTTCATACAAATATTGCCAAAATTCGAACCTATCTTTCGCATACATATATGAATTTTCTTGTTTGAATTATTAAATTTTCAGCAAACCACCCGAGTAAAGATTACTTTCAATCTTTGAACCCAAGGATCCGGAGGATGGCTCGACAGGACATTGGCACGGCAAGGTGAAAGGATGTCTGAAGGTCGTTCGTTGCTCCCGAAGACTACGGTCGCCGACAGAAAGTTAATTGCTTCAGTTTCTTGCATTAGAAACTTAATAGATGAATTCGTATAAATGATTTATTAAATTAAAAAAGAAAGAATTATACACATATAATTTTTTCAAAATATATTTATAAAAAATATATGTATAAATAATAATATGTATACTGATTTTAATGTCTCTTTTCATTAAAAAAATGTACTAATATGAAGTGTTTATATCCATGGAAAATACAAATAAAATTTTTAAAATTAATTAGAATGATTTCAGATATAAAATAAAATTTACTCCAAAGTAACATTTACTCCAAAATAAAATTTACTCTAATGTTATTAAAATGATTTTATAATAATTTATATAACAAGAATATAAGTTCATAAGAATGTATATATATTATATAACATCTATCTATACAATAAATAACGAATTATATCTCATTCATATATTCGAGAACTACATCCAAGGCTGATGGTCATACAAGAAATAAGATAAAATTTTAACACGACTAAATTATATATTTTCCCTTAGATTGGTTATTTTATCGTGAAGTTTTTGTAACTTTACTTAAGAAAGAAGAAAAATAAGGATTATTAGGTCAGATAAAAAGAAATTCCATTCTGAAGGGAAATATTTATACTGTACAACATATAAAATAATGAAAATTAAAACTTCCTCTTTAAAAGAGAAGAAGAAAAAGAAAGAATGAAAGAGAAAGAATTGATTAAATTATGTCAAATTTACGAATTAGCGAATTTAAATTGAATGAATTGATTTATTTAATTGAATCTGACTTGTATTTATGTTGTACATATTCAATTAGATACATATTTTATAATGATCCTTATAACGTAACCAATGCTAACATTTTTTCGAGAAATATCGTAGAATTGATTTGTTCATATTTTTTTCTGTAACATCAAGAGATACAATTGTGAATCGCGATAAATCTTTCACTCGCTGCAGCACAAAATAAGATCCATGATAATCAAATGGTGGACGGTAACTTATTCATTGTTGGAAACTGATACAGTAGATATAGTAGATTTCTCGGTGTAATAAGTACAGTTATCATACAGAAATGTAAAATTATTCGATTATGATATAAATTTCTATATATTTCTATAATATAAATATATATAAATATATATAATATTTTCTTATTTATTATAATTTTTGTGCTTTAATTGGAATCTTTTTATCATGTTTATATTCTCAATTTATGCAGCTTATACATTGAATCAGTAATAAAGTCCAATAGATGGCGATATCATACGCATTAAACTAAAAAATTATTAATTATTGTATAATAAAAATCATATTATATAAATTAAATAATAAAAAATAGATATGAAGAGTTTAGTTTTTTATTTACTATTTAAAAGTATTGTTTACAATTAAAGAACTGTTGAAGTAAGTAATTTGTTTTCATAATGAATAAATGCAAACGAACAAATGTAACATAAAGAAATATATAAAAAAATGAATAAAATTTTTAAATTTAATAAATGTTTTTTAAGCACTTTGTTATTTTTATTGAAATATCAATTAACTATTATTGTTCTTCGATAAGGATATCTAATGCACTTAACTTGACAACCATGACAATGGATTAAGCATCATTTTTCGAGATCAGTATCCCCGGAGGAAATTGACTGAAGCCGTTAAGCTATTAAAGCATGGATTCCTCGGAAAGATCTTGACTCTCAATCATCTCACCATCTTAAGAAAACAATCGCGCGAGTTTAACTGTCACGAGAAAATTTTAAGGAAATTGAGCGGCAGCGAATAGGGGTTCTGGACCGGGGTGATTATACGAGTCGAAAGAATAACACGGAAGCAGGATTCAGGACAGCTGACTTCGACGTGTCGACGAGAAAAAGAAAGGATCAGATAAGGAAGCACGTCTCTTCCACTTGACATTTCCTTTGTTTAAGAATCGAGATAAGGCCTGGCAAGGTCCGCAGAGGACCCTCTGTTTGAGCACGGGCAGGAACAAACCGGGCACACCTCCTTTCCTCTCTCGCTCTGAGATCAAATATTATCGGGTGTAAGCGCGTATATATGTATGTATTTATCCGCTTAAGTTTACCCGGGGTATCTACCTGCAACCTACAGACTGTTATCGACATCTCGACATATCCGTGTGATTATCGTAATTCACGTCGAATTTGACAAAGTGGATGATTGCTAAATCCCCGATGGGCAAATTCTAGCTCGTCTTGATCTCTTTCTTTCTAACCAGCTGGTTTCTTCTATTTATATCATTTATACGTTATTTCAAAGTAGATAATTTGTGTTTCATCCCACATGTATTCTAGAGGCACAATTATTTAGTCTGATCGAAATTCATTAAATCCTCGATCAATTATCTTGATGCTGAGAACTTTCTGTACTTTAATATAAAATTAACTCGATTGATGTAATTTAATTTATATTTTACAATATGTGATATATCTATTGAGTCACAAATTTCCCTCTCGAGTTTATAAAACAATGTAGATATCAATTTGACTGAAAGAATAGTGAGAAATGTAAATATGAACGATTATAATCTCCTTTGAAATAATTTTTCCAACAGTATAATCTTTCTAGATCTAGGGAAGATTGAAACTTATAGGATGGATCTCGTGAAAATCGATATAGACAGGTCTCATATTTGCAATGCACTTGTGACGGTGCGAGCTCAAAGTTGGTTCAAATGACTTCGATGGGCATCGCACAGTTTTCCCGGCCACGTTGCTAGCAAACATTTGCTGGAAGGTAAAAGAGTCCTCTTTAAATTCCACTGGGCACAATCGGCGCCTCAGCATTTTAAATAATTTTGAAGTTTAAAGCTCCTCTGAGAGAGCTTAGTCTCTAAAATCAATAGAATTCGTAACAAACTAATCCTTTAATGGTGGACTTTACCTTTTATTATAAAAAAGAACGGTAATTCATTTATGCGCGATAAGATAATCGATTAATTAAATTTTCTGTAAATTATAAATACATATGTATATATTATACATGTTAATATTAATGTTGTTATTAATATTAATGTTAATATTAATGTATTATACATGCATTATTATCAATATGATACTAATTTAAATGCAATATTTTTAAATGCAATATCAAAATAATATTATAATTAGAATAAAATTTATATTTTGCATTATTAGCCATTCTACTGATAAAAAATATAAAATAAAAATCTCTATCAATTTATTAATTTCAAATTATTGAGAGAAAAAGTATGACTAATTGTAAGTGTTAATTTATGACTGTCACATTTTGAAACCTGTGAAATGAAAAGATTTGAACATCACAAAATTGCTGCAATAAAAATGCCAAACGTATTATAAAATTGTCAAAATTATGCTACTCAAGATCGTGTGTAAATCATAAACTGTAAATATAATTTCAACATTCCAAAAATAGGTTGTACCCTTTTTTATTACAGGATAACGGCAATCGAAAGATTGGATTTTGTTCCCAAGACCGTTGCACAGGATTAAGCAATCACACAGACCGATGGTTCCTTGATAGCGATGCTAATGTCGGGTCGAAAGGGCCTAGCACATCTTTATGGCCCTTCCGTTTACTTAGGCAAATCGAAGACATTCGCGGCCAAAGGGCGAACATGTATATCTCTGTTGTCGAAAAAAACCGTCAGCCTGCAATAAAAAGCTATTACATTGGCATCCAAATAACGAAGGCTACCCGTAAAAAAAACAATTTCTTCTTCTAATGTAAAACGTATTTATAATTAAATGGATTAGTGGAAGATATTGAAATGGAAAAATTCGTAAATTTATTTGTTATTTCATATGTTCTCTAATTAAAAATTAGAAAATATATAAAAATACAATTCTTTTATAAAATGTTCATTTGAAGTTTGCAGGAACGTAAACGTTCTAATAATTAAAATTGCAGAAAATAATTGTGCTAGTAACAAGAGTGTTGTTAATAAAAAAATATAAATACAATTAATTAATTGGGAAAAATAAAGATATTTTTAGAGTGTATTTTTTAATTATTTTCATTAAATTCGAAAAATAATATAGCTATTAATTGAAACATTATGTTGCGTCAAGTAAGTTAATATAACTTATTTACTAAAATCATTCTTTTTTATTCAAAAATAATAGTTCCTTCCTTTCACACATATATGCTTTTATTTTATGTTTAATTTTATTACTTAGAAACCAAATTATTTTCAATGCTGCAAAAATATATTCAAAAAA